AGCCTTTCTCCCAGTCGTGAGAGCACAAGGCTGGCTTTTCAAAAAAAGGAAAGGTGGAGACTCATGGATGAGAGTTGATTTTGGCAAGTTGGGCCTTGAGAAGAGGCATTAACTGTTAGAGGGGTTGTGACTCTAAAGCGATGAGCAAAGAGAGCTGGGCTAGGCAAACAGGGTGTAATTGACCCACAGTGATGACAGGCTTCAGTATTTTCTCAAAGATAATAACTAGCTGAAGAAAAGAAGATGCCCTAGGCCTTGAACCAAATTGGTCACCTTACAGCTATGAAATGCCCCACCCAGCACTAATTATGACTATTATAACAGTAACAATTAAATCAAAGTAACTGCTGCTATTCTTTGACAGCTGCCTTGCCAAGGTGAGTATTTTATTTGATTATGAAGCAAAGAAAGGGACTTAATCAACTTAAAATTGCTCTTTGTTTCTGAAAGGTTTTGTTATTATTCGAGTAAAACTCAAGTTTTGACAAGTTGCGAACACTACCCTGTGTTTCCAGTTTCCCAGTTCCCAGTGTTTACACCTCACTCCGTGTTTGTACATCTGTGATGAAGGCTGAAACAGAGATTTGCTCTTCTGTTTTATGTGATATTCCCCAGTTGGACCGTGCCTGTGACTGCCCCTGCAGTTGTCTTTTCTGCTTTGCACCGTCCTCACCTGTTGTTTACATAGCTCTGGATATAGCCAACATCAGACACTTAAATACACTGACTAGGAACAGCAGCAGGTGGGCTCAAAAGTCAGGTGAGTCTCCTCTAACCAGCTCTATTTTGTTAACAAAAAAATAGGTGTGATGCTGGGCCACAGTGCTGGGTGAGATAAGAGAGCATCACCATGGGCCATCTGTTCAAAGCTCACCTTCACCCAGCCCCAGGCTCTGCAGACCACCTGCCAGCAGCCAGGGAAGCCCTGAATCTGGGCTAATTGAAGGGATCTGCAGCCAGCCAGCTTCATATTTAATAGGGATTTACTGCTGATGGAAATTACAAGCGAATTACAGATTCCAGAACGTCATGGTCTCGCCAGAGTCAAACAAAAGCACGTGGTGATAATGTTGCTCTATTGGGAACAGCAAGAAGAATGATACAGACTCTCTTGTGAGTTGAACAGGAGAGTTCCTCCAAGGTTTATTACCTCAGATCTTCTTTTATAGACCGATATGTGAAAGTACAGAAAGGCAAAACTCTTATTTTTTAGTAAGAAAATATTATAAGTATGTATTTTTAAGTATGTGTTAGTAAACTAACACATCACCATCATTGGTCAGTGGGGTTCACCACCCCACGACCTTCTCTTGAAAGAAAACAAGAGACTGACAAACAGCACCTGCAAGGCTGTCTTCTATCTCTGAGGATTGTTTTAATTCCTCCTTATGATTTCCCAGGCCACTTTCCCAGGCGAGACGGAGAAAATTATGCAGCCTGCTATTGCACAGGCACTGTGCTCCCTGCTTTTGCTGTTAGTTAGCATCCATAGTGATAAGAACAGAGTGCTGCACTCTGGGACCTGAGGTCTCCATGGACATCATTGCTTTGTTAAAGTACTGCTGATAAGCTATGAGGTACTACAGAGCTCCACATCTTTCCTAGAGGCTGTGCTTTCCTCAGTTGTGTTTGTAATGCTGTTTATAATTTCCAGCTCTTCTGTTTGTTTTTATATGAGTGTAGGAGGGTTTCTTTCTCTTCAAATCAAATCATAGGGCCTCACCATTTCTAGCTCAAAGTCTCCCTAATGCTGCTAATCTCCTATTAACAGCCTACTGACACAGAAGAGACAACAGAAAAAGACTGATTGCCAGCCCTCTGGCCCTGTGACCGTGTGCTAGTCAGATCTGGATTAATAGCTGAGGCGATTTACCTCAGGAGGCCTTGTCACAGGTGCCTGTAACCCTAAACTCTCCTCAAACTGCCTGGCAGGAGAGGGAGGAGGGGAACCAGCAAATCCACAGATGATGCACACACAGACAAGGCCTTGCTGAAATTCATTTTTCCTTCTCCTATACAAAAAAGACTGGGGAAAAAAACCTCCTTGCCTTTGTATAAAAGGCAACAAGCTGGGCATAGACATCCCACCCAGGACACAAACCCCACTATGGTACTCCCCTCATACTACCTGTCACTGACAGCAAGGTGGTTTGACTGTAGCTTTTCTGGTTTCTAGAAACTGTTATCCAGGAGCACAGGCAAACACACTGCTTTCCTGTGTAGCATGAGACATTGCCCTGCTGCGTAGCTGCTTCAAGCACAAGAGGGACCCTTCCAGCTTTAAGACAATTTAAGCTGCTACCATTCAAGGAAAGATGGAAAAACAGCATCATTCTGACTTGGCAACAAGTATCCATCTGACAGTTCGGTTCAGCAGCCCAAACAGTCTCAGGCTCTCCTCCCAAGCGCTGCAGCTCCTACATTTGCAGCACTGCGCCGGCTGTGCTGCTCCATGACCCTACATAGCAGGAGGAGGGTGCTGGGATGATGGGTGCAGCTGGCCAGCTGCACTTGACGTCACCCAGCAGCAGAATGTCCCCACACAGCATCTGAGCTGCACCAGGAGCCTGCCTGACTGCTAGCCAGAGAAACAGAGGCAGGAGCTGATGCTGCCCGTGACCAGGTCAGCCACCAAGATTCCACCTGTGCCCGGCAGAAGCGTCTCTCATCTCCACGAAGATTACTCTGTTTCAGAATGATTTAATTTTGCTTGTTAACTAATAGCCGGTAAAATAGGTAATTGTTCCTGGACTGAAGTTAAACAATCCTGTTACTGAGTGTTATTTGCAGGTCAGAGAGCTGCGAGAGGTTTGGCCTTCAAGGCACCACACTGTCCCCTCTAGGAAGAGGGGTGAAGTACAAAAACATTCTACCATGCCTTACGGAGAAATTAATTTAACCTATAATTATTGTTATTACAAGGCTGTTTGTCCACCTTGTCTTCTTACACAACCACACACTGCAACTCATACGGAGCTGCTGTTTAGAGCAACTCCTACCTCTCCCTGACCCTTCCCAGCCTCTAACACAACTGCATCAGTGTTGCAGCTCTGTCTTTCCATAGGTCTTTATTCATCAGGCGCATCCGCAGGGAAACAGGATCTGACTCACTCCCCACCTGAAACAACAGCCCCGCTCCAAAAGCTGCTTCCGTGGCCACAACACCTCCTGCAAACATCACCAGGGCAATGCAGGGCTGCCCTTCTAAGGGACAGAACATTACTGGCTGCGCCCCATGAAAGAAATTCTCCAACAGCATCTTTGCATAGCGCAAACTCACCTTGTTTTTGTGCTGTCTCACTCCTTTTCTGAGTCTCAGTGAGGAGCATCCAAGCCAGTGCGAGTCTTTTTCAAAGTTGATTCCTTATCCATATTTGGGAATTTGTGCTGGGCACTAGCTGGTACGGGGCACGTTCTTCCCACAGTGCACTTTGGGACTTGTAGTTCCCAAAAAGGAATGCTGTTTTCCAAATTGCAAGCACCGAGCAACAGAAAGAGAAGTCTGAAACGCCTTTATCTCTGCCTTTGCTTGCTGCTGGGCCCTTCCTTTCACATGTTTCTGTGCAGTGGTTTCACCTTAGCCAGCCAGAATCCTTCGGGAATCTCTTCCACAGCTAAGGGCGGTGTGCCAACCCCTTGGATGCGCCGCTGTGCAAAAGCTGCTCCTGTTGCCGAGAGGGGCAGGTGCGTGGTCCTGCCTCCGGGAAACAGCTACCTAGAGAAACAGAGCTCTGATCAACTTTTTAATCAGATTCCCCACACTGAAAAGGCATAGAAAATCCCCTTTAAAAGATGTGTTTCACTATGCGGCGTGTTTTGTATCAGCCCGTTTGATTTTTTTTTTTTTTTAATTACATAATCATAGTGGGGGGACAGATAAATGTGTCAGTTGTTTGAAAAGGCTGCGAGAGAAATCAATCCCGTCTCTCCTGTAGAGATCCCTTTTTGAAGAGCGTTTGAGGCAATTACCTCGTAACCAAGACACCCTGTTGTTTTTAAACAACAACCGGAGGAGAACGCCAATCTCTGCCTGCCGGGCACTGCTGGAGACGCTGTCATTACACCCCAACTCCATTAACAGCGTGATGTGCTTAAACCTGCGGGCACGGGGAGCCTGAGGAGAGGTGCCCGGAGGAGGAGGAGGCGGGGAGCGGAGAGCATCCATCCCCCGGCCGGGCGGTGCTGCGGGAGCCCCGGCTCCCGGGAGAGGAGAACCGGGACACTCCCGGGGCTGGGCTGACTCCCGGCGGCCGCGGGGAGAACAGCCGAGGCGGGCTCGGCCCCTTTCCCTGGGCGGCCACAGGAGGGAGGAGATGAAGGAAGCGCGTTTTGTCAGGGACGGGCAGCGATGTCGGTCCCACAGAGCCCGCTTTGCACCGCTGATCCCCGCAGGGTCACGGCGGGGGTCAGGCTGGAAGCGAGCACAGCGGGTCATCAGCTCCCTGCTCCGTCAGGGTCACTGCCGAGCACACGGGATTGCATCCAGGCCATTCTGGAATATCTCCATAAAGGGACACTGCACACCTGCTCTGGCCAAGCCGTTTCAGTGCGAGCTCACCGCACACTTAAGAAGTTCTTCCCCTTGCCCAGGCGGAATTTACTGTGCGTCAGTTTCTGCCTCTTGTCCTACTGCTCGGTACCACAGAGCAGAACCTGCCTTTATCTTCTAAACCCCTCCCTTTAGGTATTTATTCACATTACAGAGGTTCCCTCTCAGTCGTCTCTTCCCAAGGCTGAACAGACCCAGCTCCCTCAGCCTCTCCTCGTAAGGGACGCTCCAGCCCGCAGCCACCCCCGCGGCCCTCCTGCAGCAGGGCCTACACATCCCGGCGGCCCGCGGGATGCTCCCGGGGCGGCCCTTCCGCTGCCGGGCGGCTCCAGCCCGGCTTTCCGGTGCCTGCCCGAGCGGCTCGGAGCCGAGCCGGGCCCCGGCGGGGGCGGTGGCGGCGCTGGAGCCGGAGGCTGAGGCAGAGCCGTGCGGGGCCGGGGAGAGCCCTCCCGCCGGGGCCATGAGGGGCGAGCCGCCCGCCTGGGCCCCGGGGCCGGCGCAGGCGGCGGCGCTGCTGGAGGAGGCGGCGGATCTGCTGGTGCTGCACCGAGACTTCGCCGCCGCCGTGGAGCGGTGTGAGGCGGGCTGCGACAGCCTGGGAGTCGGCCCCGGCCCCGGCCCCGAGAGGTGCGAGCGGCGGGCACGGGGAAGCTGCTCGGTGCCGCATCAGCGCCCGGCTGCCTTCGAACTTCAGGCCACGCCTGCGCTGCTTTGGGGTTTCTTTTATCCCTGTCGGTATTAACGCGTTTCACTGTGTTTGAGGGAGGTGGGGTGTGCCCAGCAGCCTTCCCTTCGTTCTCTCAGAGATACAGTCACAGTGTGTATCCTCGGAGGTCGAATTGGCCTTTTTATAGGGGATGAGTAGAGGGGAAGCAGAGAGCTGTGCGGTACCTGGGATGCACTGAAGCTCACTGGAAGGGGAAATGTGTTTGTAAGAAGCACTTATTTAGGTGTCTGTTCCTTACCAGTTTTGCAGAAGTGAAATGCTCCCTTTGTGTTGTGGGGATTCAGGCGCTGGCTGAGATGAACCGGTGGAGAGAAGTTCTGTCTTGGGTGCTGCAGTATTACCATGTACCTGAAGATCTGCCTCCAAAAGTTCTGGAGCTGTGGTGAGTTTCTGTCTGTTGCTGTCAGATGTACACACAGGGCTTGTGTTAGGTTTAACTGCAGGCCAGGCTTGGGTGTTACGTGATGTTTTCACTTTGTGTGGTGTAAGTGAGATCTGGGACAGGCCTGTTCTTGACCTGTGTGTGCTGGAGCATGCCTGCAAGATTGCTTCATGGCGATCAAGTCCAAAAGAGGTGATGCTGAGAGAGTAACATCGATAGCTGCACCTGTTGTCTGCCTCAGAATTCTCTGTGTGTGTTGATGTAGACCCTGATTTGTTCCTTCATGAGAGCTGTGTGTGGGTTGTAGCTCTGACAAAGACTTTGTGTCTTCTCCTGCTTCTCCCTTGCATTTCAGCATCCTGTTGTACAGCAAAGTGCGAGAGCCGCAGGTGATGCTGGAGGTCGGCAGCAGCTGGCTGAGAGCCCATACCAACCAGAGCCTGCCCGAGTTCGGGGCGCTGCTGGAGCTGTACCTGGAGCAGGTGCTGCTGCCTCTGGGGCGCTTTGAGGGCGCGGAGGAGCTGGTGCGGGGCTGTGCCGCGTTGGACAGCGAGCGGCAGCTGGCGTTCCTCGGCACCGTCCGCGAGAGCCGCCGCTGCTGGGCTCAGCGGGAAGAGACATGCTCGGCTGCTGAGGAGCAGCAAGACCCGGCCACAGAAACTGTTCTGGGTGGGCTTTCCCTCTGTTGTTTGTGCTCTTCTTTTTATGGTTTCATTTCAAGCTTGTCCCTTGCTGGTGAAGGGTAGAAGCTATTAAGAATATTGCTGTGAGGAAGTCCTGTTGTGTATCTCAGCAGGAATTAAAAGTGTTAGTGATACCTTTGCTGAGATTTGCAAGGCGTATTTAGTCTCTGCCAACATGAGGAGATGACAATTAATGTCCTGGATCAAAAGCACTGTGGAGGTTTTGGTTGTTTTTATTTTAAGGTAAAAAAGGAAAACTAAGACTACCTGGCAATCCTTTAAGGGTATGTTTTGTTGGCTCTGTGTACAATTTACTTAATTTCCATTTACAGTTGAGTCCAAGTAGAACAATGCCTGTCTAGCATTTTAAAGTACTGCTCCTTCTCCAGAACTGTAAATCATTTGATGTTTTCTCCCAGGACAGAAGCTGGCACTACTGTGGTATAACATCATATTGCAGTAAAGTAGATGCCTAAAAAAGAAGTATAATGAAGTGTATTACAAAATTGTACTGTTTCTCTGTTGTATAAAAAACCAAACCCAACTCAGCTCTCATGCAGACTTCCAGTATCTTAGTTTTTTATTGTCTATATCTATGTGATTACATTTTAAACTTTACCTTGCCCTAACAGCCTTTCTGTTCTTGTTTTCCAGGAGTGCTGTCCCAAAAGCTCCTGACCATGTTGACGTTGCTGCGTAGTGCAATGAGGTCCATGTCAAATCACTTCTATTTACTTCCTTACAAGAAGATGCTCTTGGCTACTTTTTTGCTGTACCTGGTGGTGGTGAGATTAGATCCAGGTAGATGATTAAGTTTTCCAGTTTTTCAAATTTCATTGTGCTTATGGAAAAGAAATTATTTGCTTGTATTAAGTATGGTGAATGTCTCAGGGAGACAAAAAATCTGGGTGACTAGGAACTTAGTTTGTCTAATGTTTCCAGTTGCAGTCCATGTAGAAAGATGAAGCTCCACAAATACCAGTTTTCTGAAAACTCTTTCCAGCAGACAAGGTACAGACTGTGAGAGGCAGGCAGAGCTGTCCTAAACTCAGCCTTTTCCTCACTGGAGGAAGGAAGAGAGCTGGGTTTTTATTAACTCTAGTTGGGGGTAGTTCTTTCTTAATGTGTTTAGTGTATGTTAGTTTTACCTAGTTAGTTTTACCTAGTTAGTGCAATTAATACGGTTTTACCTTTTTGTTCTGCTTTGCAGCTTCTCCCACATCACTGCCATTCATCTACAAACTGGTCCAGCTCTTCAGACAGGCTTGGGCAGCCGTGCTTTCTCCAATCCATAGGCCTCCAATTCGAGACTAAGTGTCTTCCTCCACTAAAGGTGTCACCTTTGTCTTGGGGATGTTACCAGGCTTTTCAGGGACTGGTGAAATCTGAGATGACCACCTGTGGACTCCTGGAATTTCTCCAGACAGGGAATGGTGGTGTATGAATTTTGAAGCCACAGCAAGTTTTCCTGACATTTTGCTTGGTCCCGTCCAACACTAGGGTAAAGCCACTCCTTCCCTATCTGCAACTCAATAAGAATCCTCCTTTTCAATCCTCTTTTTCAAGCTTTTCCAACACTTTGCTTTGGATGTGTCTCTTGAGCGAGGGTTGTGTAGCCAGTTATGAGCTGTGGAAGAAGTTCTCATCCTTGCAAATGCTGAGCAGTTCTCTGAACAAGTGCAATAGTGTTCCTGGAGGCATGACTGTAGAAGGCAGCAGAGTACCAGTGATTAGGGGAATATTCTGTTTTGCCTGAAGACATCTGAAAAGCCCAGTTCCTGCAGCATGGGGTTTAGGACAAGCACATGGAAGAAAAACACTGGAGATAGTAAAGCCTCTTACGTTTTGAAAGCCATGGTTTCTCTTGTGACTGATGCCTCTTTGGACAGGCACACTGGATTTTAGTCATATTTAAGCCAGAAAGATGGGGTGGTGGGCCACAAAGACTGTTGTGCTGTACCTACTCTTCTTAAATGCAAATTACAGCACTTAGTGCTTGCCTGATGCATAGTCATTCCTATAAGCACTTGGTGGTGGTGGTAAGGCAATAGAGTTGTTTTTTTCAATTATATTCTATGTTATTGTCTAGTTGAACAACTCAAGTTGTTGCTTTGTTTTACTCTTTCCCTACCTCTTGCTTTGTTCACATAGATGTCAAAAAGTCTCTCTGTATATCTAGAATTGTTCCCCAAGTCCCCAGAACCCAAAGCCCTAGGTTAGATAGGAGTAATGATAGATAGTTCAGCAATGCTTTGTCATTCAGAACAGAAGTTTATTTTTTATAGAAAAAGATGCTTCTCTGACATCACAAGGTCTTCCCCAGATCAGTGGAAAGAAAATTGTACATCTGCAGGTCCTGTCACCAGACCAACTCCATTTCTAACCACCTGGGGCAGAAACTGGAGGTTTGGGGTAGAACATGAATTTCTCCTCCATCCATTCACCCATTTCTCATCAATTGGCAAGAGGTCAATTCCAAGGAGAGATCTCAGTGTGGTGTCTGGCAGCAGTAGTGCCCTTTGTCTGTAGCAATAACCATACTCCAAGCTGGTGGCTGTTCCTGTTTTCTTCACACAGATGGGCGTGTTGGCACCCTCAGACTGTGTGGGATCTGTTGCTTTGCTCCCTACTGGGGCACTTTGCAAACAGTCTCATCTTCACTACTAAAAATAGTTGTCTGTTTCATCTAAAATTATCCCAAAAAGAGCTACCCTCCAGCATTATTGTCAGACAAACTCAGGCAGGTTATTCTTGAGTGCAGTAACAACCTTGCCTAGTTGTTTCCAGAGGTTTTAAAACCCAGACCAATCCCATATCCCTCCCCAAAGATTTTGTCTCTGCCAGGAATCTGCACCAGGTTAAGTAGCACATAGCTTTTCCATATAAAAAAGTAATTTCTTACATACTCTGCACACACAGGGAGGAACAGCCTTTGGTATTGCTAAATGGTTCCTGAAACCAACACTTGATGTGAAATCAGGTAGAGTGAAACACAAAAGCTCTGTCTGGAGCTGAGCTCTTCCAAGAAATGACCAGGATGAGTGTTCTGCCCCCCCTGCTTTTCAAGGCCTCAGGTTAAGTCCTTTGTAAGCCAGTTAATGAAATGGCAAACTTCACTGTGAAGTCAGGCCAAATTCTTACCAAAGTAACTGTTAGGTAATGAACACTTTTTGCTGTAGTCTTCTGGCATCATTTTTAGTTGGATGGCAGAGATGCTGTTTTGGAGGTTGGTTTGGACCAGTGGTTTCAGCAGGCTATTCACAGTTTTTAGAATGCTGTTAAGTGTCATTTACCAGGATTTTTAACATTCAACTTTATTTTAAGTGTAGGTTGGAAATGTTGACTTTATTGGGGTACTACTGATTTAGAATTTATATTGTTTTTAAATCATCATGAGAGAACAAGAAGGCAGAAATAAGCTATCAGGGTTGTTTTTTTTTTTTTGCAATTAATACTAAAACTGCAGTATCTAATTTTTATAATAAAATGACTACTGATTGACCTCTTTGTAGAGTTGCTTGTTTGTGCTGTGATTGAGGGTATGAAAAAAATTGTGTTTATTCTATTGATACACTACAAAGTACATCACAGTCTTGCAGAATAGTTTCACATTGTTTCATAGTTTCAGCAGAGATTGAATTAAGTCAAGAATGTCTTCGGTGTGAATCTGATGAGATCTAATCCACTGATGATGTTGGTAGGGCGTAAATCTGCATTTTGGGATGTCCAAGACCAATACTACCAAGAATAAAATACCTGGTATTCATCATTATTAGATGAATGTATCTTCACATTAGAACTAACTATAGTTCTGACCTTGTTGTATTAGGAGAGAAGCTCTACAAATAAAAATCCATAGCACGGTTCTCTGTTTCAGGGATAATGCCTGAAAACCAGTATTTTATCAGTGTAGCAATGTTTTACAGGTACTTAATTATTAGACTAGAGAAGTTCAGAAATCCTGAAATGAGATGCTGCTGGTTTGCCCAGCAGGTGGCAACAGAATAACAGAAAACAGTTCTACAGGGAATGCAAAGTAAGTGTTTAAATCTTCATTCACTGTCTGAGGAAGGTATTATAATGTGTGGGAAATGCAAATGCTTACATGTCCCAAATTAAAAGGAAAAGGGGATTTTGTGTGATCACCTAAGAACTTATTAAGAGTGCACTGTTCTGTAAAATGGCATAATAGCATTCTAAAATAATTCATGTTTCTGACACTGTTGGTGAGTTATTTAGGCAACCAACCTGTCAGGAGGGAGGGATGTACATCCAGCAGAGGAGGAAAAGCAGCTGACTGTCCTTCATTTGCCTCTTGGTGTATTTCAATCTCCAGCATATTTGCCCAGCATATTGAGCTGGGGAAGAAGGAGAAAGGGGATGACATTCAGAGGGATGGTGTTTGTCTTCCCGAGCCAGTGATAGAGCCCTGCTGTCCTGGTTGTAGCTGAACACCTGCCTGCCCATGGGAAGTGGTGAATCCACTCCTTGGTTTGCTTTGCTTGTGGGCACAACTTTTGCTTTGTGTGTTAAACTATACCTCAACCCACAGGTTCTTATTCTTCTGGTTGCCAGCTGGTGTTAAACCAGTACAATGGTACTTCTGAGTTCTAAGTTATTCCAAAACGCCATTTTCAGAGATATGAAAATGTGAGAGTATTCCTTAGTCTCAAAGCAATGACCTGATGGTTTTCTGAAGAACTCTGAGATTCAGCTTAAGTAAAGCAGCAGATGGAAATTATCATGGAAATTCTTTGTTAAAAAACAACTATGGCTCAAAAAATTATGGCTCTGTAGCTTTTCCCAGCCAAAAGCAAAGAGTAATGGTTTGCAGGTTTATGTAAAGAGCAGCAAAATGAAGACTATACCAAAGTGAGTTTATAAAAACCAGTATGAACTATTTCTCACTCTTAAAATGCAGGTGTTAAAGATTTTTCTATGCTGGTTGCCAACAGTGACAGAACAATCTGTTAATATCGTCATGTCAGAGTAGACTAACCTACATTTTAGGAATTGTCTATTTAATGTCTGCTGATTAAACATCATCATAAACAGTACCTTCATAAAGTCTGGGGATACATAACACAGATTGAATAATCAAGTGTGCCTTCCTCTTTGTTACCAGGAGTTGCATCAAAATGAGGATTTCTCTACTGAGAGAAGCTGCTGTTTCCAGTGGGGAATTAGTGCAGAAAGGGCAAAGTGGTGGAGGCGACTGCACCAATTTGGTGTCAGAATTTTGGGGTGATGCCTCCAGACCTGTCCTGCAATAAACACTGCAATAAGAATCAAATCTTTTCCTGTTGTTTGGGAAGAGTAGTGAGAGTCTGTACTGAAAGCTGTCCCATCCTGCTGACAGCCTGGATGACTGCACATGGAAAGAGAAGTAATAGGAGTAAATTGAAATGTTAGTAGAGAAGCCAGGAGATCATTTAGAAGCACTAATAGAGCACACTTAAGAATGATAATTATATTTACTTTCCAGATCTCTGTTTTTCTTCTATACTTCTCCTTTCCATTAATTTGCTCTCTTACACCTATACTGGAACTGAGGTGTGATTTTCACCTACAGCAGTACGTGTTGGCAGAACAGGGACCTGGCATGTTGCAGGTGATGTAAAACCCTGAGGTTTGAGAAAGCACAGTGTACAATGTGCCACATGGCCACACTCCAAATTAATAAGCGTGCCAGCGCTGTCTGCACTGAGCTGGAAGCCTGGGGTGTGTCAGGCCAGCCTGTGAGGGAGGATTTGCACAGGAGGGGTGTTGGAGGCAGCAGGGTGACCTCTTCCCCCAGCGCTGTGACGCTGAAGCGCAGCAGCAGGTGCCGGGTGCCGGGCCAGGGGTTCCTCCTGCTCTGCAGCCCAGAGCCAGGCTCCGGCACAGAGCTGCCACCAGCGATCCCAAAGGGATCCCAAAGGGAGGGAAACACCTCTGGAGGCACCATGGTAAGGGGATGGGGAGCACTGAGCACACGGGGGCTGGGAGGGCCGTGGGCGAGGGAAGGCAGTGGGCTCTGCTCTTGTCCTGACCTCACGCACCACTCACCAAGTGAGGAGATGGGAAAGGAGTGCAGAAAATCTCACTGAGGCATTACAGCATTACATTTTCTTCAGAGAGTCCCTAATTAGTGGAATTTCAAGATCAATTAGATGTGGAGTCTCAGCTGTTTGGTACTTTCTTCTTGTGACCACATTTTCTCAACACTGGTTTGTTTTCATATGAATAATTAGGACTTACCTACATGAGATCCTTCAGCCAAAGACAGAGTTTAGCTCCTTGTCCTGGTGTGTATGTCTTAGTTTTCTACTTTCATAAGCTTGTGAATCATGGCTACATGGATAATATATAAATGTATGTGTCAAAAGTTTCTTTATTTTTCTACTGCATTTGTTTTAGAAAAGTAACATTTTCATCTACTCAAAAATAAAGCAACTATGAAAAATCAAAAAATAAATAAAATGGGTTTTGTATATAGTCTAGTGAAAAAAATCAACAAAAAATTACATTTTTTCAGTTTTTGGAATCTCTTAGAAATTAATTCTATTTCCTTTAAATTGCTCTCCTTCTTGCGTTTCACAAAAATGAAGCCTTCTCCTGAAAATGAAAAAAACCCTCCATAATAAACGAAAAGCAATATTGCTACAAGACATTTCCAGTGACAGATCCTTTTTTTAGATATATTTTTTTAGAAATAAACAAAAAAAAAAGTTAGTTATCTCTGTGTCTGTTTAAAATTAATTTAGCCCCAATGGTTGTACTATCCATAGCTATACAGGGTATGCATGTGTGTTTCTGGAGTCCATGAATCCTTTTATATACGTATGCATTTAAGTAAATTAATTAAGTTAATTTAAGAAAAAATGCCCTTTGTTTTTAAGTGTTGGGGGTTTGTTATAAATTTGTAGAAATCTCTCAAAACCTCTTAGAATGTGAAAAAACTCATTTCACCTTGCACCCCAGTATATCTCTAGCACTGAGTCTAATTTTGGTGCAGAGGAAGAACTGTGTTACTTTCTGCCAGCTCATCTTGAAGGCAAAATACTTCCACAGGCTTCCCCAGACCTGGGGAAGTGAGAGTGTTTGTGGAACAGCTGGAAGACTAAAGTCTGCCTTTTGCAGTAAATACTGCAATATTTAATATTAAATATTATTATTGAATATTATTATTAAATATTATTACTCCTGGAGCCAGGTATTAGCTTGTTTTTTTAAAGCTGTCCCAGGTTTAGTTTTGCAAAGGATCTGGTCTGTTCTACTGTTTCTTTGTTGGATCTGTCCTGGTGCATTAGTGGTGGGATGTGAAACATGAGTTTGGAATAGGCTCCAAATTAAAATATCACATAAAGATCAGCTTACTCTGACTGTGACGCTGAAGAAGGCCCACTCTCTTCCCTATTAAAAGTGTGGCACCTATTTTAATGCTGTTTACTATGCAAAATCAGAAACCTCTTTTTCACTGTCTTCTCTCTTTGGTAGAATATTTCCAAATTACTGCTGGGGTAGGAGAAGATGAAATGGCTCAAAAATCAGGGTTGAGATACCGTTTCAAACTAGTGCAGCTGAAAACTCAGTCTGAAAAATCTTCAACCACAGTCCTGTATGAAGCTTTACAATATTAATTTCCTAAGGCAGCAATAACTTGTTCTATCTGTGAAAAAGCAGACCTGAAGAAGTGAGCAAAACATCTTTTTAGGTTTAAAATATTGCTTGACTTGTAATTGTAGTTTTGCTTTAAAAGATCTTTTTAAAAGCCAGCTAGCCTCATTGCTGTGTTTGAAAAGAAAAGAAACCCTAATTTTTCTTACAGATTCTCACTGGAATTTGAAAGAAAAGACAGGAAAGTCAGCATTAATTGAATTCTCTAAGCCCAAATTTACCTTCCGTGTCTCCTGGGTAATCCTCCAGATTGCAACACACTTACTCATAAAGCCCCTTGTCACTCAACTCTGAGACTTTTGCACAGCTCAGTTGAGAAAAAACAGGGTTGTGCAAGTACTCTTGAGAACATGTGCATTTGCAGGGGCAGCAGCTTAGAAATGAGTACTGAAAAGAAATAATTTATTTCATTGAATGAAAGATTTAAATTGTGCTTTCATGCTCGTTTGAGCTTCTGGGGATGACTAGCTGGGGCAGTGGTGACTTTTGAAATTCTAGCTGCTTCTGAAAAAATGTCTTCAGTTATCATTCTTAAATAAGAATATATGATAATTTGTGAAGAAAACTGCTCCAGAGATGTTGCTGATCACACATTGCAACTGGAAATTTAGGTTTTGGGGAACATACATTTCATTCCCAGGTCACAGAATGATTTTGCTAGGTAAGCAGTTACAGAATTTGATTAAAAAAAAAATTAAAATTAACTGGTCAAATCTGATAGTGCCATTGGTTATCTCTAAATGCAATATTACAAAACAAGAATGAGTGAGGACTGTCCTCTGCCCTTAAAGCCAGACTGGCTTCATATCTGGCCATCTCAATTCTCCTTCCCTCTCCAAAGCCTGGCAGTGGTCACTGAGCTGCTCACAATTTTGACGAGTTGTTTTCTGCATGGTGCCCAAGCATTGTCTGGAAAAATATTAACTGGCCTAAGCCAAAACTGTACCAGTCTTTTGGAATTATCAATCAGCACTGGAGATCACAGGCCAGTGTTCTGTACTATGACCTGACTCTTTTTTGCTACCTAGCATAGACAAGGCCCTGAGTATCACAAAATCAGAGCTCAGGCAGCTTGAATTGCTCCAAAGCAGAAACCAAATCTGAAAAAATCCACATGCCTAAAACCACTCTCTCCTCAAAAAAATGCCTTTCAGTGCAGACAGTGTTGCAATTTTTGGGACTAACCCACAAGTATTTGCTTCATAATTCTGTTTGTGAACTTATGAAACCCAGCACCGTGGCCTTCAAGCTCCTGTACTTTTAAGCATACGGGATTTTGGAGCAATGGACTCCTGCCTGCTTTAGTCTGGTGTTACACAGTTTTTTCTTCCTGGCTTCCACAGAAGCAATGCTGGAAATCATGGAAATACACTATATTGCAATGGCACTGCCTGACAAGAAATGGAGCCATGGTGTAAAATTAATGTCTGCTCAGGAGCTGGAAGGAATGTTTGTTTTGACCAAGAAAATCTGAAATCATTTCCTTAGGTGAAAACAGCTCTTCCAAGTTTCCACACCAGCCTGCTATCACAGGGTAGAAGGATCAAAAGACATCACCTGCCTTGGGTTACGTAAGGGTGAAGGATGCCACACGGCTGTGTCAGGTTCCAGCCAGGAGTAAAAATAAACTAAACTGGGATGTGCTCCTCAGCAGCGCCAATCCAGGAAGGAAGGTGGGGTTTGTGTGATTGAAATTAAGTTTTTCTGACTTAATTTTCCTGACTGTTTTAATATACTTCTATAGTACAGCACACAGATCTCAATTTTTTAAAGAACTGTCCCGGTATCTGGCATGTGCAGTCTCATTGTGGTCGTGGGGCTGAACAACCAAATGAACAGCTGACAGTAACAATTCACTGATTTTTCTGAAAAGCAACACAGTGGGAAAATGTAACCACCAGGAATCAGGAGAGCTAAGGTACACTGTTTTTCCTGACCCTGCCTCTTCTCTCTCCCCTCAGCGTGAGTGCATCTCTGTTCACGTGGGCCAGGCTGGAGTGCAGATAGGAAATGCGTGCTGGGAACTCTTCTGCCTGGAGCACGGCATTCAGCCCGACGGCACCTTCAAGGACCTGCAAAACAAACTCAGCCCTGATGACTCTTTCACCACGTTTTTCAATGAAACAGGCACTGGGAAGCATGTGCCACGGGCTGTGATGGTGGACTTGGAACCAACTGTGGTAGGTCAGTAGAGAAATAAACCTGCAGAATGGAGATGAGATTGCTTTCCCTCGTATCACCAAGGTGTGCAACCAGTCTTCACTGGCACAAAGCAACCCTTTGTACCTCAAACTGCCACTAGATAGCATAAAATGAATTTTCTTGTGACACAGGATGCCAGATTTTGTCACAGGTGTTACAAACACAGGAACAGGAGGATCCCCAGCAGTTTAACAGCCGGTACATGGGGGGTGTACAATCTTCTCTTTGCATCAATATTCAACTTCTGGGTTTATCATGACATTTTTGCCATTCAAATTCCGTTTTTCATCAGTTTGGATTCAAAGTGGGAGCCTGATTGCTTCCCTCCAATATTAGAGGGATGTCAGAAAATTGGGACACCTGAATTTCTTCACACATTTTTTTAATTTTTAATGGGGACCTGTGGGTGCAGGCTGTACTTGTCACCAATAAGCTCATGAGAAGACAAGTGGCTGGATTGAAGATGCACCATAAATCGGCCAAAAGCAACAACGAAAAAATGCTCTGGAGACATTTCCCTTCTCCATCAGCATCTGTCTTTTGGCATCACATGAACTCCTGTGGCTCAGAGCATGCGCTGATGCCAACAACAACCAGAATTTGTTGGCACTGGAGCATATTCTTACAATTTCCTCTTTCTTCTTCAGATGAAGTACGGGCTGGCACCTTCCGGGAGCTTTTTCATCCAGAGCAGCTGATCACTGGAAAGGAAGATGCAGCCAATAACTACGCCCGTGGCCACTACACCATTGGCAAGGAAAGCATCGATACGGTGCTGGATCGCGTCCGTAAACTGGTAAATCCCAGCGGTTTTGAAGCAGCAGTTTGGACTCTGCAGAGGAAAGAAGGGCAGAACTAACAGCTTGTTAATTTTAGATGATATCAGTGGGTCAGAAAAGAGATTGCAAGTCATACAGATGATATCCTGGACGTGGTACAGAAGAGAGAACAGTAGTTCACTTCCCAGCTGCATGCCTCCAGCCATCTTTATGAAGTGGCTCTGAATATGTAATTTTTAATTATTAGCACAGCCCTACAGCACCAGTGCTGATACTGAAGGGTGGATTATGCAGTTGTAGACTGCTGGTTTCAGCCAGAATAACAGAGCAGTGTGAAGTTCAGAGAGAGAGGCTATCACACTGTATTAGGAACGGCGAGGAGTATGACATGACTCACTCAGCTGCATTGTCCAAGAGAGCAAAGTTTATTATTCTTAATCTTCTTTTATACACATGTTTGAGAAGGTCTGAGAGGTAAAACTCTCCTTGGCCATTAAAGCAACACATCACCAGCATTGATTAAGTGGAACACTACCCCTTGACTAAACAACACCTGCAGATTGCCGTCCTTTACCAAGGATTGTTTGGATGCTTTCTCAGGCCACACTGAGAAGCCTGTGTGACTTAGTTTCACGCAGGCTCTGCTCTCCCTGCCTGCTTTCAGCATCCATAACAGGCCTGGACAGATCCCTATGTCACAAGCTCAGACAGTGAGGGAAGCAAAGGCTGGAATTATCACCAGCCTTTTCCCAGGAAACCTTGATGTAAAATCTATGCTGTATTCTGCCTATGACTGCTCACTCCTTCAGCTCAGGATAAGCTCACGTAGCAAAGTCTTTCCCACCTTTTCCACCTGCTGCTGTTTCACTTTCTCGTTCGCTTTCCAGGCTGATGCCTGTTCTGGGCTGCAAGGATTCCTGATCTTCCACAGCTTTGGTGGCGGCACCGGCTCTGGGTTTACCTCCTTGCTGATGGAACGCCTCTCTGTGGATTACGGAAAGAAGTCCAAACTGGAGTTTGCCATCTACCCAGCCCCTCAGGTCTCCACCGCTGTGGTGGAACCCTACAACTCCATCCTGACCACGCACACCACACTGGAGCACTCGGACTGTGCCTTCATGGTGGACAACGAGGCCATCTACGACATCTGCCGCCGGAACCTGGACATCGAGCGCCCCACCTACACCAACCTGAACCGCCTCATCAGCCAGATCGTGTCCTCCATCACCGCCTCTCTGCGCTTTGACGGCGCCCTGAATGTCGACCTGACCGAGTTCCAGACCAACCTGGTGCCCTACCCGCGCATCCACTTCCCACTGGTGACCTACGCCCCCATCATCTCCTCCGACAGAGCGCACCACGAGCAGCTCTCGGTGGCCGAGATCACCAACGCCTGCTTCGAGCCCAACAACCAGATGGTGAAGTGTGACCCGAGGCACGGCAAGTACATGGCGTGCTGCGTGCTCTACCGCGGCGACGTGGTGCCCAAGGACGTCAACGTCGCCATTGCTGCCATCAAGACCAAGAGATCCATCCAGTTTGTTGACTGGTGTCCAACAGGCTTCAAGGTGAGTAGGGCTGCCACGAGCTTCTCTTTGGTGATTAAAATGCAGGTTCAGCCTAGTAGAAGACTTGTATTTGAGTCTTTCTGTTTCTTCTGTTTCCACCTGAGCATGGAGGAATAGAGATATTTCCCAATGAACGTAAGAAGGATGCGTTTTGGTTCAGTCTAGTAGAAAACTTGTATTTAAGGGTTTCTGTCTTGTCTATTTCTCCCATTTCCTCCCAAAATGGGGGAATATAGATATTTCCCAATGATCATAAGAAGGATGCATTTTTATAGAATGTGCCTTTTCTCCTTTGGACATCCCATTGACACAGGCTCTTAGATATTGAAGTAAGTGGAAATTCAAAGTGTGTACGGGTTAAAATTGAAAGAAGTTTTAATTTCAGACCCGACCTTTGGAACAAATCAATGAACGTTGCTTCTGAGGCACAATCTAAAACTGAGGAAATACCAAAACTGATAAAATTAATAAAGGAAATGCTGATATTAGGGAATCTCTTAGTTAATCTAGAAATATTATACAGCTTCTCCACACTGGCTACACAGCAGTGTTGGGAAACATATTTTCAACGATACAGACATTAACAGTGGAAAAACATTTGTCATACAAACAGCTCCTGCAGCAATGTCAACTTTCCACTGGGAACCAACATTTTGTGTTACTTTCTACAGAGTGTCATGGGAAAACTCTGTGTTCAGTATTGAGTAGCTCTTAAAAAAGCCACAAACTCATCAGTGTACATGAAACAGCAGAATAGTACAGGTATTAAAGTGAGTGTGCATCATGGTATTTGACATTTGGAATGGCACCACTCTACCCCAGCACCTGTGACTTCACTCGCGTTTCTTCAGCTCTCTGACTGCCTCCTGCTGTTCTACAGCCTTCTCTCACATTCCCCTTTCCAGGTTGGCATCAACTACCAGCCTCCTACGGTGGTTCCTGGTGGAGACCTGGCCCAAGTGCAGCGGGCAGTCTGCATGCTGAGCAACACCACGGCCATCGCCGAGGCTTGGGCAAGGCTGGACCACAAGTTTGACCTGATGTACGCCAAGAGAGCTTTTGTGCACTGGTACGTGGGTGAGGGCATGGAGGAGGGAGAGTTTGCAGAGGCCAGAGAGGACCTGGCTGCCCTGGAAAAGGACTATGAAGAAGTGGGAACTGACTCATTTGAAGAAGAGAATGATGTGGAATAATTTTAAAATACATTTTGTTCCTGGTGAGCATGGAATTGTCTCTGTGTCACTGTGCTGCATGTGTCAACAATCAGGTTTTCAGTATGTTGCAAACATAAATTTAGGAGAATTCATATAGTGACATTTTTTGTTCCATAAATGACAGGCAAATTATCCTGTAAGATATCATCAGCTGTATTAATGCCACTCCCAGTAATGTAAAAAGACTTGCTCTCCCTTGCACACTTAATGTGAGCCTCTTTAAACTTTAATGTACATGGTAAACTCATTACATTCCATGTAGGTCATCCCAAAAAGCTGCAGAACCCTGCACAAGAGCAACAGAGCCAACAGGAACACCACAGACACCTCCTAAACCGGGATTCTCTGGAATCCCCTCTCTGGGATATTTGAAAAGTCCTGGCAACCAGGTGAAGTCCCAGGGGAGTGGAAAAAAGGAAACATTGTCCCCATTGTTAAAAACGGTGGAAAGGAGGGCCCTGGTGACTGCCAACCTGTTGGCCTCACCTCTGTGCCTGGGAAATTGGTGGAAGAAGTCCTTCCAGAAGCTGTGCTAAGGCATATGGAGGGCAGATTTAATTGGATATTCATGGATAAATTAATTTGGGCACTTATGCATGAAGTACCTAGGTGCTCATGCATAAATTATTTGGGAATTTATTAACACCTTTGTGCAACAAATGAGATGTTGTCTTGCTTTTTGATTAAGTTCTCCTACATGCATTTGTGATCCTCCTTGCTCATTTCAGAATCTAGATTTTTTTTATGATGCTAATACAGAATTCCCTTCAAGAAGGACCTGCCTATAAAAAGTAAGACAATTCTTAGAAATACCCAAGTTGCCTTTTTTCAGGACTGTGAACTTTCAGACCTGAAAAATCTCATTTCTGGGACTGATTCTGCCAGATTTTCTCACAAAAATTAAGGCAACACCTCACCTTTGTTGCACAGTTGTGTTCATAAGTTCCCGATTAATTAATACATGATTGCTAATTACCTCACATTTCCCACCCTTTCCCCCCTTATATTTCTTACTCTTTTCCCACCTCGTGTTTCCTGCCCTTTTTTCTTTCCTTTTTCTCCTCACACTTCCTGCCATTTTTTCTCTCTATTTTTCTGCCCTTTCCCCCCTCTGTTTAAATACTTCAAATGTTGGAAAAATGGGGTTTTCTCCCCTCAATTAGACCTTAAATAATGGAAAAGAAGTTTTCCTTTAACTGATACCCTTAAAATCACAGGTGAAGGGGGATCCCCTTCAACTTAAACACAGACAATAGTGGAAAATGTAATTTCTCCTCAGTTTAAGCCACTTTTCCCTCAAACTCCTTTTTTCTGGGGTTACTGGGGCACGCTAGGGAGGAACTGGGGGCACTGGGCAGGGGACTAGAGGCCCTGGGATGGGACTGGGAAGATGAAATAGAAAAGAGAAAGAAAAAGGATCTCCCCACACCTCCAGACACTGTCCCACCTGCTCAGGGGTGCCACTCTCCCTCCTCATCCTCACTGACCACACCTGGGGCTGTCCCAATCCTCCTCATCCTCACTGACCCCACCCGGGGCTGTCCCAATCCTCCTCATCCTCACTGACCCCACCCGGGGCTGTCCCAATCCTCCTCATCCTCACTGACCCCACCCGGGGCTGTCCCAATCCTCCTCATC